ATTGAATGAGAAATACATCTCTAATGAAATTCGAGGAAATAAGTTTTTCATATTAGCAGAAAATACTTACTGTCACCAGTCTATTTCGGACAGAGTAGAATTTTACGAGTTGTACATGCGCATTAGGTAAGCAGCGCTGAATCATATGTGATAAACTGTTTATTTTTTATTTGTTTAATTTCTTTTACACATCGCTTTAAATTTACTATACTATTTGAATGGAACATGTGGCAACGATTAAATAATTCTTCAGATGATATACAGTGTCTCACAAAAGTGATGGGACACTTGTGCGTTACAAAAGGAAACTGTAGTAAAATAAATTTAAAAAACATGTAAAAATGTTTTGTGGGTGTGTTTCATACTTAAATTTAGTAAAAATATTACATAACATATATGCCGAGGTCAATTTAATAAAACTACAATTGTTGAGAAATATCAATTTAATAAAAATACAATTGTTTAGAACGGAGCAAAAAATGGCTCACATAAGTGATGGGACACTTACTTTTCCATCAAATATTTATCCAAAAATTTTACTTTTTAAAAGATTTTAATGTTTTGTTGGATTTCCTTTTACTTTTAAAACATGATTTAATCTTCTTGGGATGGATTCGACTAATTTTTTTTTTTTTTTTTTTTTTTTTTTTTTTGTGATTTCACCCCATTCTTCTTGAAGCGCCGATTTTAATTGTTGTTTTGAAGAAATGGTGTGTTTGCGAATTCTTCATTCCAATTCTTGCCAAATATTCCCTATGTGATTTAAGTTTGGAGATTGTGGTGGTGTTTTTATTATTTCAGGACAGTTATACAGCAGCCCGAGTCTAACGTTCAAAGCAGTGTGCTTGGGGTCATTGTCCTGGTAGAATTTAAAATCGTTATGAAGGTTCAATTTTCGTGCTGAAGATTTCAAATTTTGATTTAAAATGTCAATATATTTGTACTGATCCATTATACTGTCAATAAAAACAAGATTACCAACTCCAGCGAACGACATACCATAACTCCTCCTCCACCATGTTTTACTGTTGGCAATAAGTTCTGTTTGCGAAATTCTTCCCTGACTTTTCTCCACACCAAGATTCTACCGTCAGAAACCAAAATATATTAAATTTACTCTCATCAGGCAAATATAATTTCATTCCAGTAATCAGAATTCCTTATTTATGTTGGATTTTGCGAAAGCCAGTCTGAGTTGTTCTATTCTTTTCACTCACAGAAGAATTTTTTCCTGGCTGCTCTACCGTGATATCCAGGATATCGAATTACTCTTATAATAGTCTCAGGATTAACAATTACTCCATATAATGCTTGTAAATCAGACAGCAACTATTAGGAGCACTCATTCTTGGAGTTTTTTTTTAATATTTCGAACGATAATTCGCTTTATTCCATTTGGATAGCTTTGATGGTCGGCCAGGTCTTCTGTTATCCTGAATCATATGATTCTTTTTATATCGTTTAATGATACTGAAAACTGTTGAATGACTCAAGTTAACTGTTTCAGCAATTTCTCTAATAGATTTTCCACGTTCAATATGCAAATTTTCGAATTTCAGGCAAAGTTTCTTTTCGTTTAGAATTCATAGCTGCACAGAGCTAAAAACACGAAAATTCCAAAACAAACTGGAGAGAAATACTGCAGACAATTTTATAAATTATTGCCAATTGCTTTTGAGTAAAAATACAAACCCCAAAAAATATTTTTATTGTAGCACTTTGTAGTATCTAATGGTGTCCCATCACTTATGTGAGCCATTTTTTGCTCCGTTCTAAACAATTGTATTTTTATTAAATTAATATTTTAATATTTTGAGAAAATGTATGTTATGTAATAATTGTTACTAAATTTAAGTATGAAACACAACTACAAAAAATTTTTACAAGTTTTTTTAATTTATTTTATTACAGTTTCCTTTTGTAAAGCGAAAGTGTCCCATCACTTTTGTGAGACACTGTATATTTTTTTTCATTCTGTGTTACAAAATGAATGAGATTAAACTCTGTTAAGTGAACGTAGCGCTAGAGTATCACTATGGTAAATAAGTATAGTAAATTTTAAAAAGCGCATTTATTCTATTGTGGTTTATGCGCTATCGACGAAGTATATTTAATTGAATTCCGTAAGTTTAAATTAAATGCAGGAAAAAAATGAGTCTAATTTAATTCTGTACAAGGAAGTCATGTAGTGTAAACATCAGATTTTTTAAATAATGGTTTAATCGCAAACTGTATTACTATTATTTTTTAATCAAAAATATTCTTAAACAATTTTTATCCTGTTAATCTTCTTTTGGTAACTGCATAAAGAAATTAATGGGTAAATTTGCTTTTTATATACTGGAAATTATGTTCTGTATGAGTTGAAAGCGAAATGTCGCTTATTAGTCATATAAAAAAAGTGTCAAATCAGACATTGGATGTTGCTTCTTTGAATGCAAATATCCGAGTTTACTGCGAATGTTTATACAATGGCTCGTATTTGTTTGCGGACACTTATATTTTTGAAATCTACTTTCATAGATCTTCTACTAAATATTGAAACATAGACTCCGAATTTTTTGCTAATATTTTATTTTATATCTATTTTATGTCAGGATTATTGCAAAACAAATGTCTTCAAAATATTACGGGTAACAAAATAATTTATCAAATTGCGAATCGCTACAAATTAACACGTTCTTTCAGATTAATTATTCGTCATTTTAAAGATGGCATTCGAAATACTCAAAAAATCCTTGCTTGAAGCCGTCAATTATCGTCGACATTTTAAAATGATAAAAGTAGCGTGGAACTGTTTTAAATGCTTAAAGTCTGGACCACATTCCAAGCTAACATCAAGAAATCATAAATTTATTCAACGAAAAATTAAACAAGACGCAAAATTTAGTGCTTTAAAACTCGCAGCGAATTTAAAAGAAGGTTTTGTAATAAAATTAACCCTGAATTGTTAGAAGAGTCATTATAAGGCACATGAATACAATGGGCGAACAGCAAGAAAGAAATTACTTCTCAACAAGAAAACAAGGAAAATATGCCTAGTGTTTGCAAAATCTATTGTAAGTAAAGATTTATCATATTGGAACAATGTTACCTTTGCAGTCGAGTCAAAATTTCAATTAGGTCCGACAAATTGCTATGTGGCAAAAGCCGAACGAAGAGCTGAATTTGAAAAACCTGTTGCCTACAAGAGCAAGCATAACGTTTTGGAGATGTTTCGCTGCCTTTGGGAATAAGAAACTTAGTGTTTATTGAAAATAACATGGATTAGTATAAATATTCTTAACGAAAACCTAAAAGCATCTGCAGGAAATACTGGAATGCAGAATAGGTTCAAGTTCTATTAGAATAACTATTCTAAATCTGCAGTTCTAAATGCTCCCTTGAGATTAGTATCGTTTGGTAATTGTCAGATCGCCCCCAAATTCTCAGGATTTAAATCATATCGATCATAAATAGAGAGAATTGGAGGAAAAAATAAGGAAACACGATAGATCTTCAAAACGTTCTGCTAGAAGCAGTTCTTAACGGTGACAACCATTGAAATACTGAATATCTCCTTATTTTCATATTTTTATTAAATATAATCTGTTTATACAAAGTGCTCAAATATTTACGTGAATTCTTTTAGGAATAGAAAAATTAATTAGTTAATAGGTAATTGAACGGCTTTATATGTGTATACGCAATGAAAAAGTAAAATTAAAGAGACAGACTTGATTTTTCTTGAAAATTTTATTCTTTTAAAGTATAAGAGGTTGTAATAATAATTAGTAGTTCTTAATTTTCGAAAGATTAAATATTTTTTAGAATTCAAACCTAATTTATACATTCGCTAACTATTTTAAACCCATCACTCTTATTCGCATTAAGGTGAGGCCGTTGGAAGAAGCAGAAATTACGGAAAAGAATACACTTAAAAATAATGTGTTACTTAAAAAATACCTTACAAAGTGTGTTTGCAAAATCTATATTATCAAATTTCATTACCGCAGATTTAAAATTTTGCATCAACAATACATTTTTTATTTAAAGAAAAAATATCTCCACGACTTATTATTATTCTTATATAAAAGAATTCAAGCATTTGGAAAAATTAGAAAACCATCTATCTCTATTAAAAAAAAATCAAAAAGCTTTCAGATTTTATACTACACGCAAAGGGGAATTTTTTTTTTTTTTTTTTTTTTTTTTTCATTTACGCACAAGTTTCGACAGCATTTGGACTAATGCCCCTTTGGGCTAAAAATATTTAAAAACAGCATGTCTTTAAAATTTACGATAGGCAATCGGGCGCCCTGCATATAAGAATGTTTTATTCCGTACAGTATTGCCACTACTCGCTTTGAAATCGTCGAGTTTGTTAGTTAAAAATCCGTTAAAATTTTACAAAATATAAAATAGATAATAAAACTAATTCGAAATTCAAAATTCGGACTTTCAGGTGCCCATATTCCGTGGACGACTACGTTATTCAAAATTTGATAGCTCCAGATATCCCCCCTTTTTTTTCACATTCCAAGAAACATACATATATTCATACAAAGTGTTCATTATTTATTTATTTTTTTTAATATAATATAGGGCAATAATATTTGGTGGTAAGAATTCGAAAAGTGATTCAACGCTTTTAGTGATTCGACGCAAAATGTTTCGAAACTAAAGCCCTTCTGGACTGACGACTGTTTAGGCTAAAAAATCGCTCCTCTTCATAATAAGAATACATTTTTGAAAAATTACTTCTTTTTATATTAAAAATGAATATTTATTTACTTATTTATTTATTAATTTTTTGCTTTAAAATGTTAGAAAAAGAAGCCATCTCTTGCCGACTTTAAAACTTCTTTTCGGGTTTTTCTTCTCTTAATCTTTTTTCCTAGAGACCACATCTTAGCGGCTATTCGCCACTCACGTGCGCAAAGCGTAAAATAAATAAATACGCGAGCGCCACCTACAAGGGGCCGACACACGACAAGCGAGCGGCCACCGCAGACGATTATTGCGACTCCAGCTGAGCTGAAAGGTGCGAGAGATTTGAAAATTCAGTGTCTCCTTTAATATTTTGATGTTCGACTCGTTGGAAAAGAGCCAATGATTCCTTTTGCTCGGGAATGATGATCGGTACACCATAGAACATTCTTGGATATACCACGAAAACATATTTTTCTGTGTGAGGTGCACCAAAACAGTTAAATCAGCATTATGTATTCTCGCAGATCTGGGATGTTATATGAATATCCGACGAGAGTCGAAGGATGGCTTAATACAATCGGTAAGAATTATTAAAACTCTTCCATTATTGAAATTTTATTTTTTAAGAAAAACGTTGGACGCAAATCTATATGATACTCATTGTACGAGAAACCTACTCGACTACAGGCGGATCAGAGTACGTTTTTGACGGCTTCTTCATATTTGACGTTTCCGTACCTCATGAGAGGCGTTCGTTAGGCTTAGCAAATGCTGATGTGCGAGATAGTTTAGTAAATACATAGGTTTAACTTAAATGATCTACATGCAATACATAGCGGTTGAAAACCATAGATTCTTTTTATATGTAAAAAGGAAAGCTTATAGCTTTCGAAGGTCTTTTGATTTAATTATATAATCAAAACTTCAAGAATGATGTAGTTTAGAACGCTGAAAAAAATCGCTTTTTTCTCTCCCCTAAGGAAAATAATTTTGGAAGAACTATGTATAGGAAAGGGTTTATATGATAAATGTTTATAAACGAATATGTCTTATAAAATAATATATTTAGTATAAAAATGGAGATTATGAACATTTAATTTTTAAATTATGAATAAACTAAATTAAGGAAAATATTTAATTGATAAAATAAATAATCATTTATTTCGTATAACAAAATTTCTTGAAGTCTCTCATGCTATTCACATTTCCTGTTTCGAATACTATTAATATATTGTTGTTGACGTATCCATTAGAAGGTTGAAGTCATAAATTCAAGAAATATTTACGAATTTGAACATTTAACTACATGTTTATTTTGATTTGAAATTCTGGCGTTAGGAAATTTGTTTAAAAGTCTTTGTTTATTGAAATATTCTAAATCTGTAAAAACGTGAAAAACTTTGCGAAATCGAATTTACGTTGAATAATTTTAACTCTAAAATTTATATACATGCAGATTTTGATGTTAAAAGTGTCTTTAACGGAATCTTCCCAAAATTTTGACCGTTACGTTCCGTACACAATGTATTTTATAATCCACTTGGAATTATCTCTTAAATTGCAGAAATGTAACAGTTCCAATGTCTTACAGTATTTCCTTAGTAAATATGAGCACTTGTTTCGCCAGATAAAGAAATAGAGATGAACTGTCTCATATTTAAAAAGGAATTTCTTAGAAAAATAATTGTATTCATTTCTTGAGGTAAATATTTACCATACAATATTGGAGTAACTAAGTGAATGATATAAGATGAAAGATTTCAATTTTTTTACCTGGTATTTGAAAAGATCCAAAAATGAATATTGTGAAACACTGAGTTGGGGGGGGTCGGAAAAACAATTTACAGTCTCATTTTCTAAGAGTCCAGTGTACCGGACCATTAAGACCATTTCTATTTGTTTTACTGGTATCTTAAAATTGAATACTGAAAAGTTACTTTTAACAAACAGAAAATTAAACTAATACTTAAAATACGTAGAAATGTCGCATTAAAAAATTTTTATTCTACCTATATTGTGTTGAAATTTTATTCTGAATATTCTTTTATAGATGTGATTAGATGTGGATTAGTTTTTACTCTAGTAAAACAAACAGAAATTCCGATAATACTTCATTGCAAATTTAATAAGCGATTACTTATCAAAGCGTTTAAATACGAACGAAGCCAACACACTTCCGTCGCTTCCTGCTGTGTTTTGAATTACGTAATCACTGGCCAACCTTCATCAACGGTGGCATTATTTTTAAAGAGCTGATTATATTTTCCTTATTTAAACTCCTTGATTTTTATGCTTCGCTGAATGTTAACAACTTTTTGTACTCACAACAGGCCATTCTCTACGCATAGTTCAGAAAAGAAAAGCCATCTTTAACTAATAATAAATTATTAAAAGAAAAATATTTTAATAGATGTCTTGCTTTGGTAATGAAATTCATTTTTTCCGACTGAACGTATTAGTAATCGTTGCTGGACTTTATAATTTTTAAAACCTGCGTATTTGTGGGAAAAAAAAATTGATGATTTATTGCTAATAGTTATGTTTCTGCAATTCGTAGTGAGCCATTCATGTGTACATTTCGTCACTGGTCAGTGACTATGAATATTAGCTGTAACAGTATTATTGGTTCTACAGAATATGGACCTGAGAATACAGAAGTCAGCAATTCTGAAAGGATTTTTAAGCCGAGGGACACCCCCCCCACATCGATCATCCGGGCACTTGCTGAAAAACATTCGTCGGTAATGATAGAACATTTTGTCGGAAATGCAACTCTTTTGATTCGTCTCATTGCTTAAAAATTTCCCCAAGATGCATCACAGAAGCTGTAGAAATATTGCAACCGCAAGGACGAGGTGAAAGATACTCACAGGGCTTAATTTATGTAATGGAAAACCGAACATTTGTCTTAGATTTCTACGATCAGGGATGCCCCTAAATCCTTCTCTAATATTTAAAATCTGTAAAATTTTAAATGATTTATTTTTTCAATTGTAATAAATGTATACAGCAAAAAGCAGGAAAAATATTTAAAATTTCCTATTTTAATTTTTGTGTCGTTCTCTCTTCAAAATCTAATGCATGCACTCTCTTACACCCTTACTGACTGATATCTTTTGGAAAAGCATATATTTGTAAACTTAGACTAATTCGTACAATTAATCTCTGTTATTATGTCTACATGATAAAAATGATCTGTGGGCGAAAGTTGTGGTTTTCGCGACTTTTTACTTCCTTGTACGAAGTAAAGGAAGTATAATAATCGCGAAAAATTTTGGCGATCATAATTTCAACGAAAATATCCATTTTGACCTCTATCGAATGCAATTTAACGATGATTTTGAGTGACAAGGACAGAAAAAAGTACTTTTTTTCCCAAGACGGATTGTAAATTGGATTTAAAATGCGTTCAGAAGAGACTTTTTTCATGACGTCTGTACGTACGTATTCGCAACCAAAAAACATACTTTCAGAGGTTGAATTTGTATATAGGATTGCTATAACTTTAGTTGTGTTTACCTCCATTTGGCTATAATCGCCCACCAAAGTATATAAATATATATATATTCTACCCCGCTGCGAATCGCTCGTGAGTTCAGTCTTTTTATTCTTATACATTGGTAAATTGTGCATTTTGTGCTTTAAAAATGATGAAAATTAAAAATGATTGAATGTTCTTATCTTCAGGTTAAGGTTTTTTTTTGCCTTTAGTTAATCTGCATGCAATAGTAGAATTATCAACAATTTGTAAGTTGTGTAAGTGCAGCTAAGCCTAAGGAAGCAGTCATATTTGTTTGCATTCGAAACTTGGCAGAATAGTGAACTAAGTCGGTTTCTGCACCTTCTGTGTCGTTTTGCCGAGTGGAGTCAAAAGTAAACGTTCAGTTTTGTGCACCGAAAAAAACTGCCTTCTTGCCCGCTAGACATATTACTTGTCTTTGCTTAGAAACTCTAATTTTAATTGTAAAAACTGTTTTTTTTTTTAAACTGTTTTAACTGTATTTAGTGTTTTATATTTTTCCATATCTTTCAATTTTTAATGACGGTCTTTTGAGTTTTTATGTATTTTTGCCTTTCCGCGAATTGAGAAATGAATTAATTGAACGAGAAATATATATCTCCAATTAAATTCGAGGAAATAAGTTTAAATGAAATGCAGCAAAAAATGTGTATAATTAAATAGGCTGTACAAGGAAGTCAAGTGGTGTCCACATCAGATTTTTTTAAAAAGGATTCCCAGACTATTGATATTCATCATGAATCGGCAACATATTATTAACATAAGACAAGAAAATATACTTTAACATTTTAAAATACAAATTTTAATTATTAAATAAGGATTATGGTTTACATTAAAATAATAAAATACATTCGTCTGCAAATCTTTCTGTAATTTTTTTGCTCTGTTCTTCTCTCCAAGTACACAGCGATCTGTTTTCGCTTAAAAAAAAGGTCAGAAAATTGCGGACTCGACAACGGCGGCCATCTACGAAAAGCATCTCCTCGTTGTTTACCGTTAGAAATTTTATGGCAAAATTTTGTATTCCCGCAGAAATTTTATCACAGTATCTTTCATTGCTGGCAAATTTCACAAGTCCATATTTAAACATTAAAGCAAAAAAATATCACGATTTTTTTTAGTAAAAAACCTTTGGAACTTGGAATATAATATAAAGAATGTATACGAAAATGGTCTATACTTGATTATATTATACTGCTGAACAATTTAATTGCATTACTTTGGCCTTTTTCTTTGTAATTCAATTAATTAAGGTTTGCAATAAACTTAATTAAAATTCTTAAGACTTTTCTCTATACTTTTTATTTAAGCAATTTTAAAAGAAATTATTAGATTATTTTACGAAATTTTTTATTTAATTCGCATCAGTAATGTCTGCTAAATTTAAAGGATAAAAACCCACGAGGTCCTGCTTTCAGATTTTGACCTGGTAAATCGGGCGTTCCATACAGCTCTGCCTTACGCTGGAATCGAACCCACACTTGACTTACGGCTGGCAATCAACCCGGCTTACTATATCATCCAAACCGCCAATACTCGATACAAGAATACGGCAATCACTAAGTACTCAAAATTCGATTCTTGATTCATAAAATTTCAGACTGCTTTCAGTAACCTCGCTGTCTATCGATAATGGCACAGAAAAGCAGAAACAGCGTTAAAAAGGGTCAGTTTAATGAAACAGAATGAAAATATTTTAACTTTTTGCATATTTTACTTCCCTTTTTATCAAATCCATATTAGTATTTATTCGCTTGGTGCAAATCAATTGACCCCTTGCGATCGTTGCCACACGCAATAATACACCTTTAACAACAGATAGAATGTGGCATATATAGATCCCTCATGAAACAGAAGGCAGTTGAACCGAAGTGCATTGAAATGACTAATTAAGGATGCAGACAGATACGAAAGAGAAGAGGAAAAGAAAAAGTATCAAGGTAAGATACAGTTTCAATTGAAGGAAGTAGATAACATAATAACGGAAGCCGCCATTTTGCTTCCAGCTGATAAATGTCAATAAGTGTGGTCGGCGACCAGTAGTTCTCTTTCCCAATGAC